GATAATTTAACAGAAGGACATCTCGGAGTTAAGAAGACATTGAGGCACCTTCGACAAAGATTTTACTGGATAGGTATGAGGCAAGAATGTGAAAGAATGCTGCAGGACATGCAGTACATGTTGTGCTAAAAGGGGACCCAAGCATAAGGGACGTGCTCCAATGAAGTTATATCAGGTTGGCTCACCAATGGAAAGAGTAGCCATTGACATTGCTGGTCCTTTGCCCCAAATTCGTGCTGGAAACAAGTACATTTGTGTGGTGATTGATTATTTCACCAAGTGGCCTGAGGCATATGCAATACCAAAGCAGGAAGCTACAACTGTAGCTTCGGCTATTAGTGATTTCTTCTTCAGATTTGGTATGCTATATGAACTGCATTCGGATGAAGGCCGTAACTTTGAATCAGCTGTTTCATGAATGCTGCAAGTTGTTTGGCATACGAAAGACTAGGACAACGCCACTTCACCCACAGTCTGATGGGATGGTAGAAAAGTACAATTGGACAGTTGGACAGGAATTGGCAAAGTTTTGTAATAGCCGCCAAGATGGCTGGGATGTTTTACTCCTTCCACTGTTGATGGCCTTTATAACAGCAGAGCATGAAGTCACTGGATACACTCCAGCAAAGTTGATATTTGGTCGGGAACTTTGGTTGCCAGTGGATCTTTTATCAGGACGCCCACCTTAAGAAGAGGTGCCTGAAAATGTGTCAGAGGTCGTGAAACTGTTATATGAAAGGATGGATGATATTCACCATCAAGTGCATTCAAACTTGAAAACGTCTGCTGATTCCATGAAGCTATGTTATGATAAGAGATCTACTGAAACAAGGGAAGTCTCCTAAGTTGTCTTCTCCATGGGAAGGCCCATATGACATAGTGGATCGTCTCGCAGACGTGACTTTCCGGATAAAATGTGGTCGGCGAGGTAAAGCAAAAGTGGTGCATGCCAACAGGCTTTGGCGTTATCACGGTCCAGGACATTTCAGTTGGAATGAAGTGAACAACGGAACAAATGACGCTGCTGAAGACGTATTACCTGAAAAAGCCACTGTCGAAGAAGAAACTCTGTTTGGTTTTGAGAAGGGAAACAGTGAAGCTCTTGATGAAGTTACTACCACTGATGTGACTGTTACCAATGATAAGATGTTTTCTGATGAAGCAGTTGAACCCCACTTGAAGCAGAAACCAACGAGATGGAGACC